TTTTTGTTTTCAGCAACCCTTGTGATCAGTGTTGCACAAGTCCAAAAACCTGATTATCAGTGTGACACCTTGTTCAAACCCTGATCCATCAGGGTTTTCCTAGTTTTTGAAAATTATACCCTGTAGGATCAGTGTACCAGTTTTGCAAACCCTGGTGTATTGATATTATCGTTGGCAGGCAATAACGAAACTGTATTTCTGGCTAATGGAGGCCCCCCTTGTGCCAGCTCAGATATTGCCTTTGCCAAATTTCAGTTTCGACAGTTGGCACGCGAGAACCTCCGGTTACGGGAAAGGGGGGGTGGGGTAGAGGAGGGGGGGGGGGGGGGGGGGGGCTTGGGGAGGGTATGTACTCGATTCAGGGTAAAACTCGTTACGAAGATCGGTAACCCTGGGCCGTCAGTGTACCTTAAACGTAAACCCTGGCCTATCAGGAAAATACAAGCTCCTGAAAAAATTACCCTAAGGCATCAGTGTGACAGCAAAAAACCACCCTGATTATCAGGGTATCAGGGTGATTTACCCTGATAGAATTAGCCCTGGCGCCGACTCACCGTGTGTCTCGTGCGTCGGCGGGAAGCTGGCGCGGCACACCTTCCCCGACCAAGGCTCAGACTCCGACGACGTGCTGGCCGTCGTGCACATCGACCTGTGCGGGCCGTTCCGCATGGCTGCCAAGGACGGCAGCTTGTACTTCTTGCTGCTGAAGGACCGCAAGTCCCGCTTCGTGTGGGTGAGGCCGGTCGCCAAGAAGTCGGATGTACTGCTGGAGTTCCAGACGTGGCTGGTGCTGGTGGAGAGGCAGACGACGAAGTCGGTGCTGATGCTTCGCTCCGACCGAGGAGGGGAGTTCCTCGGGAAGAAGTTCACCGACTTCGTGGACGGCAAGGGGATCGTCTACGACCTTACCTGCCCGTACACCCCTCAGCAGAACGGCATGGCGGAACGGGAGATGAGGACGGTGGTGGAGTCGGTGCGGACAATGCTGCTGCACATGGGCGTGCAGCACCCCTGGTGGCACCTCGCCCTGCGGCAGGCCGTCTGGATCCGCAACTGCCTTGAGAGGTCGACGCTGCCGCCGGGGACGACGCCGTACCAGCTGCTGGTCGGCAAGAAGCCCGACTTGTCGATGGCGAGGGTGTGGGGCTGCATGGCGCAGTTCCTTGTCCCCGAGCAGCAGCGTGGTGGGAAGTTGAAGCCGAAGGCCAGGTGGGGCCTTCACCTTGGCGTGTCGGCGGAGAGCAAGGGCTGGGAGCTCCTCGACATCGACGCCAACCGGGTGGTCACCACGTCGGACGTGGTCTTGCACGAGGAGATGTCGCTGGCCGAGTGGAAGTCGGAGCACGGGTCGGTGTCCGGCTGAACGCCGTCCACCCCGCCAACCGACGCCTCGTCGGCGACGCTGCCTCTGCTCGCCGAGGTCGGTGGGCTTGCTGCTGAGGACGACGAGGACGTCCGTCCTCCTTCCCCTCCCTCTCCTGCCTCTCCCCTCGTGGCCGACCTGCGCGGGCTGACCTCGGTGTCGGCCTCCGGCGATGAGGGGAGTAGTGGGACGTCACCTTCGGCGCCGGCCAAGGGCATCGCCGGTGGCCGACGTGACGAGCGGCAAGTCGACGTGGGAGTGAAGCCGACGTTGATGGGGGAGGAGCAAGTCGAGGAGAAGCAGCCGACAGGGGAGCAGGCAGCAGTGAAGCCGACCACGGAGCAGTCGGCAACCAGGCAGTCGGCAGGGAAGCCGACCACAGGGGAGAGGTCGGCCAGGAAGTCGACCGCGGTGCAGCAGGACGACGAGGGCGATGAAGACGACGACGAAGTTGGGGACGCCGAGGAGTCCACCAAGAGTGACGTGGTGGAGGCTCGGCCTGAACCCCGGAAGTCAGGCCGACTTCGGAGGCCGCCCGACTTCTTCGTCCCTGCTGCCTTCACCACGGTGTACGACGTGGACGACGACGACCTGGCGTATGACGACGCTGAGGAGGATGAGGAGTTTCCGGAGCTCGACCCCGACTTGCATGCCGACCCCGAGCACCGTTGGGACATCTCGACGATGACGGTGAAGGAGGCGTTGGCGAGCTGGAAGGGCCCGGCGGTGAAGGCCGCCATGGAGGAGGAGATCCGCAGCCTCATCAACATGGGCACTTGGGAGCTGGTCGAACGCCCGCCGGGAGTGAACATCATGAAGAACCGGTGGGTGTTGACGACGAAGTACCATGTCGACGACACCGTTGACCACAAGAAGGCGAGGCTGGTTGTGAAGGGCTTCACCCAGGTGTATGGCGCCGACTACGACAAGACGTTCGCGCCGGTGGGCAGCTACGTCACCCTGAGGATTTTCCTCAGCATCGTCGCCGTCCTCAACCTCAACCTGATGCAGCTCGACATGAAGAACGCCTTCTTGCAGAGCAGGCTCGACCGGGTGCTCTACATCTCCCAGCCGGACTACTTCAACGACGGAACCGGCCGGGTGTGCAAGCTGCTGAAGAGCCTGTACGGCCTGAAGCAGTCGCCGCTGTTGTGGTACTTGGCGCTCAATGACGTGCTGGTCGGCGCCGGGTGGAAGAAGAGCCAGGTCGACGAGGCTCTGTACTTCAAGGTCGGCGACGACGGAGTGGCTTGCTGGGTGCTGGTCTACGTCGACGACCTACTCGCCGCCAGCAGCAGCACCGGGATGCTGAAGGAGCTGAAGGGGCTGCTGGAGTCCGCCTTCGAGCTGCGTGAGATCTCGCCGGTGCATAAGTACCTCGGGCTGGAGATCGTCCGCGACAGGTCGGTGGGGAAGCTGTGGCTGCACCAGCAGGGCTACACCGACAAGCTGCGTAGGCGCTTCATCGATGAGGAGCAGACCGGGCGCACTCCGAAGACGCCGGTCTCGGTTGACGCCTACGCCGAGCTCACCTTCGACGACGAGGAGGCACAGGAGCGACAGGAGGAGGAATACCGGCAGAAGGTCGGCTCGCTGCAGTTCGCGGCGACGACGACGAGGCCGGACATCGCCTTCGCCTGCAGCAAGCTGGGGAGCGGCCTCACGGTGAGGAGCGACGAGCACTGGCGCGAGGTCGACCTGGGAAGTCGACCTGCGGAGGGCGTCAACTTGGTGACGCCAACTTGGGGGCAGCCGACTTAGGTGGTCGGCTGACAGGACTGCTGGTCAACCTGGTGGTTGGTCGACCAGGCCTGCTGGTCGACCTGGTGGTGGTCGACCAGGCGTGATGTCGACCTGGTGGTCGACCAGACCTGGTGGTCGACGGAGGAGGGGCCGACGTCGACCTCGACTCAGGACGCCGAGCAGCAGGGCGTCGAGTAGTTGGGCGTCAACTTGGTGACGCCGACTTCGGGTAGCCGACTTGGGTGGTCGGCTGACAACTGCGCTGGTCGACATGGAGCTGGTCGACCAGGAGTGTTGGTCGACGTGGAGCTGGTCGACCAGGGGTGTGGTCGACCTGGTGAGGTCGACTTGGGGTGGTCGTCGACTTGGGAGGTCGACGGGCACATACAGGAACAACTGGTCGACCTGGTTGCCCGGTCGACCAGGTTACCTGGGTGACGAGGTTCTGCGGAGGAGTGCGACGGTCGCCCAGGCGAAGTTGGCGAGTCCGACCTCGGTGGTGGTATCCCGAGGTCGACGTGGCTGATCAGATGCAGTCGTCAGCGCCAAGTTGACTTGATGTGTGCGCTGTGCAGGTGACGAGGCTGAGCACGCCAATCATCTGTGAGCACCTGCGAAGCTGGTGCGATGCTGTTCTGCGGGAGCAACGCTGGCACGCCGTCAACTTGCAGTGTTGGCACGCCGTCGACTTTGCACTGCTGGAGCGCGGTCGACCAGGTCGTGCTGGAACGCGGTCGACCATGCTGCGCTGGCAGTCGACCGACCTGAATGCTAGCTCTGATGTAGTCTTGCCATGCCAACTTCTTTGTATCATTGTTGTCAACTTTCTCTAGTGAAACTCTTGCCAACTTGCCCCGTGAACTAGCAAGCAGTGTGTGCACTAGGAAAACGACTAAGGACCAACGAATGCAGAGATCACACGAGCACCCGTGCCTAGCCCGTAGTCTAGCTCCCGTTGTAGTAGTTATCTCCGCAAGGTCAGGGGGTGCTCTTGAGTGCAACGACTCACAATTTCAATGACAGAAGGCAGAATGTCCAAGCCACAGAAAATAATTGAAAATTTATCCTAAATTGCTTCCATGGACATCTTCTCAAGTGGGTACGATCGGGGAAAAAAAACAGAGTTTTTATTAAAAGAAGAGGCAAACAAACAAGAGATTTTGCAATCAGCAAGCTTCTCTAGCTTTAATATATCATCATCACACAGCACATACGCCTCATCCACTCGATCTACTCCTCCAACTAGGTACCCACACCCTAGTTGGGCTTCTGGAAATCCTTCTTTCCAGAAGGTCCAGCGCTGCCTGGCTTAGGCTTCCCATAATACTTGATGGGGTTTTTGTCACGGCACTGCCTTTCGATGTGCCCCATCCTTCCACAGCCTCTGCACCGCTTGTCGGAGAAGTCCGTGTTGGTAGGGCCATGCCCTCCCCCTCCATTAGTCCTCTTGGCCTGTGGCCCTGGTTGGTGATCACGCTGTTGGAATGGCCTCTTGTTCCAACCGCCTCCATCCGTGGCATTCTGGAGTCGGTTCCCATGACCACCAGAGCCTTCAGCATGGGGCTGCTGGTCTGGCTTTTTGGGACCATAGATGTACGTGCGAATGATGTTGTCAGTTTGATCACCTGCTCCTTCATCTCCTTGTAAGTCGTCCAATTGGTCATGCCACCGGTCACGTGTGCCTGCTGTAGCTTGGCAGGAAGGCCTTTTGCTCATCGGACAACGGCTTCTGGAGCATGCATGCTGCGGCTTCGAACTCGACCGCATATTTCTGCACCGAACGGTCACGACATTTGATACTCTCAAGGCGTCCGCGCAATTCCAAGTCGGACTTCTTGACCATGTCAGCGCGGTGCAGAATTCCGGCCATTCAAACGGTCCCTGCGCCTGCTTCTTAGCGCCATACACTGCCCTGCGGGCCACCTCGTCCAATGCACGAGTAGTTGCGGTGACGCAAGCGAGCCTCGGGACGCACATTCGCAAGGGTCATGGTGGTATCCACCAGGTCAAGCCAAGGCTCCACCTCCGTCTTGCCATGGTTAAACTCAGGCAGAGGCGCCGAGAGAGATCCAAAGGGTGTGGTCTCGGGTGGAGGTGGCTGGTGCATAGCCGTTGCAGCGCCTACAGACGTAGGTGCGGGATGTTGAATGACGCTTGCATATTGTTGCAAGTATCCTGAAGCTCCTCAATTTGGCGTTTTTTAGTACACAGGCTGCGACAAAATTCACGGACCTCTTTCGTGGCAATGCTCAACGCAGCCTCAAGATTCTGAGTATGCCTCGTGAGTCCATCAATGGACGTGTGCTGCAGCAGTATGGTGATATTCTGGGTCGACACTCGAGCCTGGAGCTTGACAATCTCCTCGAAGATAGGATAACTCATGCCGTCACCCTCAGTGAAGTCATTTTCATCACCCGTGTTCTCCTTTTCACCAGTGTTTTCCTCTTCGCCATGGTTATCAGCTTCTCCATCGTTATCAGCATCACCATGGTTATCAGCTTCAACATGGTTATCCTCATCTCCAAGATCCAGGTCCTCAATGTCATCCAGCTCAATGTCAGCCATTGCCTCATCTTGATTGAGGTCAATCTCAGCAGCATTGTTCACCACCTCATTAGGTGCAGTGGGCCCTTCCTCCCTTGACATATCCTTCTCTTGGCCATATGCCATAAGGATTAAGGGAATTTTTTAGATCTGGCTGGGGCCATGGCTGCACAGGAGGTATGCTGGCTGACCTACCTGCTGACCGACTTGGGGGAGCGGCCTCGTTCTCCTGCAGTTCTGTACGTCGACAACAAGGCAATGCTTGCCTTGTGTCGCGAGCAGAGACTGGAGCACAGAACGGAGCACATTGCTCTTCGCTACTTCCTTGCGCGTGAGCTGCAGCAGCGTGGTCAGCTGCGCCTTGCTTACGTGGCCTCTCAGGCCAGCACTACTGATGTCTTCACCAAGGCCCTTGGGTCTGGTGATCATCAGCGTTTCTGCACAGCTCGTGGGCTTGTGCCCACTCTGCCTCACCTGCTGGTTGCTTGACTTGCTCTTGTTGTACACTGATATATATCTTTATACCTGCTTGTTTACTCTTGCTAGGTTGTGATCAGTGTACTGCCTTGCTATTATAACTCTGCATGTGAACTGGCCTTGTGGCCGCTTGCTTGTGCTCAGAATGCGTGGTGACCTTGTGATCCACCCTGGGCTTTGCTTTGCTTTGTTCTCTTGCCTGACTGGTCTTGTGACCGTCTGTTGTGTTTGCTATCTCCCACTTAGCCTATGGGGGTGTGTCAAACTGTATGTCTGTGTTCTCTCTAGGCTATAGTGGGTTAGCCTACAAGGGGTACAACACTTTAGGGTTAGGTACTTGTACTCATGCATGCTACCTAGTCCATCATTCCTGCCTGCTTATTCTAACACAGAGTACATGGCTAGCTAGGACCTTTCGTATTCCACTGTATTCCTATATAAACCCTTGTACCGCATTGTGTTATTCACTTCTGTCGAGATCTAAATCTCCTTCTACTGACAGAGTCCGTACCCGACATTACCAAGCAATCTACCGCTGCTACACTCCGTGCGATCAACCTGAGACGATCCTATAAGACGGTTCAGGTTGTATCATGGTATGAGAGCCACTCAGGATTCTTCGCACCACCACCTTTGATTCGAATTCAAATTCAAGGTGGCGTCCGGTACGCGCTCCCGCCGAAACATGGCTGGAGGATCTAGCAGACAAGCGGCCAACACTGCCGAATCCCCCGCCAACCCTACCGCGAACTCCGCGGGAACCACCACCGTCAGCAATGCGCTACTGGAGCAACTCATCCAGCGGATTTCTACGCTGGAATCAGGAATTCAACAACTGAAGAATGACAACCCTAAAACTGCTCAGCAACCCGATTAACCGGCCGCTCCAACCGAGCCCAACCACCTTTGATCTCGGGTCAAATTCTTCTGCTCCAACAGTTCCTCGTCCAAGTGACGAAGCTGTGCTCGCAGCTCATAACAAGTTTCTGAGTATCTCCAAGACTCGAACCAGCACCGTGTTTAGCGGGCGAGATTTTACACCTGGAGTTTCGAGCTCGAGCTACTTCTACAAAACGCGCAAATTTTCTGCTACTTTGACGGAAGCTACGCTGGCCCCTCCAGCGACACCGACGACGCAAAGGCTCAGTATTACAACGAGTCGCTCATGGCATATAGCGTCCTACTCCACAACATGGCGCCAACCGAGCAACTCGGCATTCGCCCCTACAAAACTCACCAAGCCCCCGCCATGGCCGCCTGGAGCTACCTCAACAAAACTTACCAGCCTAAAGACTCCGTATCATCCAGTCGCTTGCTCCAGCAACTCATGGAAGTCAAGATGGCACCTGGTGAGAAAGCAAACTCCTACATCAACCGCTGCCGAAGCGTCCGCGATCAACTTCTAAAGCTCGGAAACACAATTTCCGAGGACATGTTCGTCACCATCGTGCTTCGAGGACTGGGACCACACTGGAATCCCTGCAAGGCGCTTCTTCGCCGACAAGGGATAATATCCGAAGCACACCTCTGCGCCACTCTGCTGCACGAGCAGCGTGACATGGACTTCAACCAAGAAAAGGGGGCACGCCGCGAACAAATTGCCTTTTATTATAATCGCGACCAACGGAGGAATCGCGACACGCGGCCACGGCAATATTACTGCAAGAAATGCAAAATCTTCGGTCACTCCACCGAACGCTGCCGATCTGGACCACGACACGACTCCGCGCCGCACAACAACTCTGCCTATGGCCCTGATCACATGCGCCAGGCAAGCCGACCGTCTTCGGACCATCGGTCTGCCCCCCGCCAGCCGCCACAATCCGACATTCAGCGCGCACCACAGAACAACAACACCGTCCGCCATGTCATGGGCAACATGGCGATGCGCATTCCCCGGCGCACCCGCCGCACCAATCGGCGACATTTGCGATATGTCTCTCCTCCCCCGCCAGGAAACGAAGTCCAATTCACTGGCTACAACAACCCGTTCACGCAAGATGGGGAGTTCGTCTCCGACGAGCACGAACAAGATTGGGATCTGCCGATACCCCTGCTGGAGTCGCCGCCGCATGACGAAGATTTTCTTAACTCGCCATCAATCACCAGCTATTTTCACGGTCACCACATTGACACGCGCCCCGTGGATAATTACCGTGCTGCTGGAGATCGGCGCATTCCGTTCCGAAACACACCAAACTTGGCCTTCTCGGCTCAACATCGCGCGAACTCCTACAACACATGGTACCTCGATAGCTGCTGCGGGCAGCACATGGTGGGCTCCAAGCGCTACATCTCCAATGCAAGCGCCATCCCGCAACCCACCGTTGTCACGGTGACCAACAATCAGCAACTCCATGCACGAGCGTGCGGCATCGTCGTTCTAAAAGCACACGACAGCGACATTTACATCACGCTCAACGACGTTCTCATCGTGCGCGACCTTCAATACAATCTCCTCTCCTACGACCAACTCGTGCAAAGTGGAGTGCTCATGACGACTGACCTTGAGACACGTGACATCCTCATGCACTGGAAAGACTACAGCAACCTAAACAGCAAACCTCGCTACATCGGCAGAGCCCATTCCGAAGACGGCGTTTACATTCTCGATTTCGACATACCAGGCTGCAGCGCTGACTCAGGAGATCTCATCGACCTACAGCCCCAAGACATCGTGTGGAATCACAAACCCACGCACCCAGACGGTCGCCCTTGGATCAAGCATCACGCTCACCCACGGGAAATCAATCTGCACGCACCTGGACCTGACGGACTTTGCCGCTGCCGCACCCCAACAGCCTCCACCTCAGACAAACCAAACAGCCCTCCTCCCAACAGAGGAAACACACCAGCTGGCGAAGGGGAATCTTCCGCTGCAGCAGCACGACGCCTCACAGCCGCAGCAGCACAGACTGGCACATTTCCAGAACAGACCCCTGAAGACTCAGAGTCATCTGAGGACGCTAGACTAGTCATTCGGCCACCTGGCATGGACATAGTCGAGGAAGCTGAATGGCAGACTCCTCACCCATCTGGCATGCACGACGGAGAACTCGCTGCAGCACTCACTATCTTCCAGCCGCGCAAAACTCGAAATGATCCCACAGTCCATGATCGCCTCGATCTCCTCACACGTTACATGGGACCTGGCGCACATGACGGCGACAACAACCGTCTCCCACTGACCTGGGAGACCTACCACGTCAAACACCCCTGGTCCCACCGAACCATGACCACCGAGGAGTTCCATCGACATGAAGAAGAAGAAAGGCGTCGCCGCGCGGACGAAGAAGCAAAGGCGGCAGCAGCTGCCACAGCTGGAGGATGGGGGGTCGGAACTGGAACAGCTAGAGGATGGGGAAGCGGAACTAGCGCAACAGGATGGGGGGGCTCCGCACCATCAACAATGGAGGAAGAGGAGCCGATAGAAGAATTCATCGCTCGTGCTGACCGATAAGCGGCAGAAGCAGCTCGAGGACCCTATGGATCTCCACGGACCCTCGGCATACCACCAACAAACACCTCACCAACCAGCAACTCCTGCGGCTCCTCCCCAGACTCTCAACCTCCCATAGACCGTGATACCATACTGCCTTACCGCACTTATCCCCACAGTCCGCTTCACACTGAATCCACGCCCATTGGGCCCACAGACTCACCCATTCCTAGTCCCATAGCCACACACACCTTACCACCTCACCACGTGCCACGCCCAGACCTTCCAGAAGAAACAGCAGACACAGATGATCTCACAGCACCTCTTGCAGCCATAACCACAGTCACCCCAGCTCTCACCGCTCGTGAACTCATCCTCGCACTCGGCCTCTCAATTTCACCACAGCCTATCCCACAGCCACCTCCTCAAGATATCACTGAACTCATCGCCTTTTGCCACACGCTCACCTGCTCTGCGCGCCCAACCTGATCTCTGGCACAAACGCCTTGGTCACCCCTCACAGGAAGTGCTCAACAATTGCATCCGCGCGCAAGTCTTTCTTCCCGGAACTCTTCTCCGCCCAGATGGCACTCCCGTTCCCGTCAACACCTCTCGCCGCACTGACTGCAACATCTGCCCTGAAGCTGCCCTCGCCCATCAGCCCTTCAAGCTCCTTGAGCCAGGAACCAACCGCTACGAAAAAACTTGAGAAAGTTTACAGCGACTTCCTCGTGCTCACTCAGACTGGCCTCAACGGCGAAGAGTACACCCTCACCTTCATCGACGCTTACTCCCGCTTCGTTTGGGTCGCCAATGTCTCTCACAGGAGTAAGGCGTTCGAAATCTTCAAGGTCTGGCACGCCAATGCAGAGACACAGTCAGGCTGCACCCTCAATCTCTGGCAAACTGACTGCGCAGCAGAGTTCAAAAGCGACAAGATGCAGGCACTCATGAAGGAGAAGGGCATCATTCACAAGCTCTCCCTCCCGTACGCGCATCCCCAGCAGGGCGTCGCGGAACGCACCAACCGCACTCTCATGACCAAGGTTTGCGCAATTCTGCAGCAGAGCGATGTTGACGCGAAGTACTGGCCCTATGCCATGCATCACGCTGTCCGTCTGCACAACCTGCTCAGCACCACTGCCAACACCGACAACCTCTCCCCCTATCTCAAGTTCACAGGGAAACAGGGCGACATCTCCATGCTCTG